ATCTTGGGTAACTTAATGATAATGTGCCTCTATGTGTTCCTCTTTGGGTCCAACTTCTTTGGGACTCTGGGCTTCCTGGACTCCCTGAAAGTCTTATTTCCTTTGCCAGATTGGGGGAATTTTCTTTCATTATTTGTTCAGATAACTTTTCAATTTCTTGCTGTTGTTGTTCTCCTTCTGGCACCCCCATAAGTTGGATATTGGAATGTTTCAAGTTGTCCCAGAGGTTTCTAAGTCTCATTTTTCTAGATTCTTGTTTCTTCCTTGTCATCTGGATGTATGTTTATTTCTTTCTTATGTTCCAAATTGTTCCTTTGAAGTTCTGGTTTCCTTCCTGTCACTGTTGGTTCCCTGAATATTTTGCTTTATTTCACTTTGGGTATCCTTCATTTGTTTTTTTCTTTTTTTTTGACCAAACTCAATCAGATCTGTGAGCATTTTTATTATCGGGGCCTTAAATTCTCCATCAGATAGGTTGGCACTGTCCTCATCACTTAGTTCTGAGGTTATGCTCTCTTCTTTCATTTGGGCCATATTTCTTTGTCTTAGCACAGCTGATAGGTTGTAAGGGGGTGGGGCCTTATGTATTCACTTGGGCAGGGCAACCTTCCTTGCTGTGCTGCAGTGCTGCCTGTAGGGGAGGGGCCAGAGAAGGAACAGTGAGGCTTGCCTGCTTGTCTCTGGCATACTTTTCAATGACCTCTCATGTGAGGCTGGGAGTATCTCCCACTGCAGCAACCCCAGCCATAGCCCACAGTCAGCTCTGAGTCAGTCTTCCCCTTAAGTCAACCCCTCCTGTGTAGCCCACCAAATTCAGCACCCAGCCCCACCCCCATGGTCTGCCCTGCGTTGCCAAGGCCTCACCAGTCTGGTTGTTCTGGTTGATTTTTTGTTTAATTCCTTGGTTGTCAGAGTTGCATGCAGTTTGATTTGCTAGTGCTTTTGGTTGTTTATTGATTTTAGATTGGTTTTCCTCCTTTAGGTTGTACGAGGAAGCAAAGGGTTTCTACCTACGCGTCCATCTTGGCCAGAACTCTAAAAGTTTTTAATTGAGACAGGTATACGTGGTTATACAGGTATACATGGTCTTCCCACTTTAGTATGTTCCTGAAAACTTTCACAAAAAGGAGCTTTATTAAAAGGGCGTTCAGCTTGTGAAGGTCCATATAATTATAAGTGGTATAACCTATCATAATTGTTTCTATAGTTGTCTTTCTTAGTTACTAGATGCTTATTTTCCTGAAGGCAGAACATATCTTAGTCTTCATTGTGTCTCCCAGTGATAACATGATAGATTGTGTGAATGCTGAGACAGCTTCAGTACTTGTGAAGTAATACTTTTAGGTATAGGTCACATGATTGGCTTCCAGACAGGAACCATTTAGAAGGATGCCGTTCTGGTGATTCAGTAACTAAATATGATGGCTGAGGGCCACAGTGGATTTGCTACAGATTAAATTTCTCTGTAAGGTAAAATAGTGTTGTAATGTATTTTGGTATAATACCAAAGAACATTATATATGTATTTTTATTTTTTAAAAGATTTGATTTTTTAAAATTTATTTTTAGAGAGAGGGGAAGAGAAGTAGAAAGAGAGGGAGAGAAACATCATTTGGTTGCCTCTTAAATGTTCCCAGACTGGGAACGAACCAGTGACCTTTTTGCCTTGTGGGATGACGCCCAACCAAATGAGCCACACCAGTCAGGGATATACAAGTATTTTGAAATTAATTTTTGAATAATATGTATATATGGTAGAGAATTTTTACTATGTCCAGCTCTTTTCGCTGAGACACTAGGGCCCTCAGTCTCTAGGGTTGCCTTCCAGAGGTAGTCTGTATTGTTATGACCATTTAAATCTCGGTGTCACACAGTTCTACATGTTGCTCTTTTTCTTGTCTGTGTAGCTTGAGTGCTATCAGTATTGACAGAGATGCTGCCTCTGTGTACATTTCCTTTGATTTATATAACTGTTTTCTTATTGATGGACATTTCTATTGTGATAGCAAAAACTTAGAAAAATCATTGGCAATCAATATCTTTATAGATAACTCACATGTACATATGTAGGTATATTTATGCAGTTAAGATCTTGGATGTGGAATCACTGGGTCAAAGGGACATGTGCATTTAAAAAAATTTTTGATATCCATTACCCTCCATACCAGATTGTAATAATTCACTACCTGGAAGTGTGCAAGAATGCAGGTTTGTGCTTGCTCTCGCCAATATAGTGTATCAAACATTTTTATCTTTACCAGTGTAATAGGTATGCTTTTGTGTGTGCTACAATGTTTTATGTGTCTAAATTCCATTTGTTGGAGGGAAACTGGACAGGCTTTTTGAGGGTAATGAAAATATTATGGAATTAGATGGTGATGATTTCACAACCTTTGTAAATATTGCTTGGCCAAAAAGTTTGTTTTTCCCTTAAGATGGTTCTAGTAGCACTTAGTTGTCTTTAACTTATTTGAAACAATTTTTTTAAAGATTTTATTTTATTTATTTTTAGAGAGGGAAGGGAGGGAGAAAGAGAGAGAGAGAAACATCAATGTGGGGTTGCTGGGGGTCATGGCCTGCAACCCAGGCATGTACCCTGACTAGGAATCGAACCTGAGACACTTTGGTTCACAGCCCACGCTCAATCCATTGAGCTACGCCAGCCAGGATTTGAAACAATTTTGTTAGATTGTATTGTGACAGTTGTCTTATCAGCATGCATTTTTTAAAAAGCTTACCAAAATTGGTGAATTTTTGTATAGCCATTTTCATATTGAAGATGGAAGAAATACGTAATGTTTTCAGCATATTATGCTTTATTATTTCAAGAAAGGTGAAAACAACTGAAACGCAATAAAAGATTTGTGCAGTGTATAGAGAAGTTGCTGTGACTGATGGAACATGTCAAAAATGGTTTGTGAAGTTTCATGCTAGAGATTTCTCACTGATTGATGCTTCACAGTCTGGTAGACCGATTGAAGTTGATAAGGATCAAATCAAGATGTTAATTGAGAACAATCAATGTTATACCACACAGGAGATAGCCAACATACTGAAAGTATCCAAATCAATGAAGTTATTGGTAAAAATGAAAAATGTGTCTTTTATTATATGGAAAAAAACATATGGACTTCTTGGCCAACCCAATATACTAAAAGCCACTGAATTGTACCTTTTAAAAGGATGAATGTTATGGCATGTGAATTATACCTCAATAAAGCTGCTATTTTAAAAAATAAAACCCATTTCTATTTTTCTTTATGCACTCTGACTTTAAATAGAAGAATTTGTTTCATTACTTTGTTTTTCTATTCTTATAGGAAATTAGTTTTTTGTTTTTGTAATATTACATGTATTTTTCTCCAGTTAGCCATTGGCTATATTGATCTTGATGCCTTGAGTTTGCTCTTTAGCCATGTAGAAAATTTGTATTTATGTATGGTTGGTCAAATCCTTTCTTTCTTTTCTTTTTAGAACTTTGAGGTGGTTTTTCATACTTTCAAAGGTTTTTCTTCAATATTTTATATATATATATATATTTAAAGATTTTATTTATTTATTTTTAGAGAGAGGAGAACGGAGAGAGAAAGAAAGGTAGAGAAACATCAATGTGTGGTTGCCTCTCACGTGCCCCCTACTGAGGACCTGACATATGCCTGGGAACCCAGGCTTGTGCCCTGATGGGGAATCGAACCCATGACCCTTTGGTTTGCAGGCTATCACTCAGTCCACTGAGCCACACCAGCCAGGGCCAATGTTATATATTTTTAAATCCCTATGTTTCTTCTCTCTCTTTAAATTTTGTTTCTTTTACTGATTCTAGAGAGAGAAGATGGAAGGGAGGAAAAGAGGGAGAGAAACATTGATCAGTTATCCTCTTGCATGCACCCCAACCCAGGGCCAAACCCACAGCTCTGGCATGTGCCCTGACCAGAATTGGACTGTGACCTTTTTGGTTTGCAGGATGATGCCCAAGGAAGAAACTGAGCCACACTGGCCAGGACTCTTATGGCTCTTTTATGTTTACTTTTTAAATATTTAAATCTTTGATTCTGAATCTGCAGAATTTATTTTGTCATACGTTGTAAAAAAGGGGCAATAGCCTTTTTTTTCTTCTGATGATACCCAATTGACCCCCCCACCATACTATTTTTAAAAAATAATTCATTTTACCCTATTGCTTTAAACTCCATTTTTATTATTTCTTAAATTCTTTCATGTTTTTGGATCAAAGTCTGGATTTTTAATTCTTTCCTGATATTCTTGTCATATTCATATGTTACTATACACTGTTTTAATGACTTTAAATTAACAGGCTGGTCCAAGTTCTGTTTAATAGGTTTTCTTGATTAACCTTGATTACTTTTCCCTGAAGTGAACTTCAGAAGTGGGATTTTTAAGGTTTTTAAAATCCTATTGAAATGTTATAGTTTTTACATTAACAATTCATGAACTTGATTATTTCATTCCTTTGCTGTTTCTCTTCTGTTTTGTCTTATGTTTGCTTGTGCATTCAGAGCAGTGTTAAGTACTAGTGATCACAGGAGTTCTCAGCTTGCCTCCCTAGGTATAATGTGCATGTTTTAGGCATTATAGTCATAAGGGAAATTGGGCTGTATGGTGTTTTTGCTTTTTTTATTACTGTGTTAGGTTTTATGATCTTAGAAATCATTTTTTAATCTGTTGTGTAACAATTTAAATATCATTGATGTTGCTCATCGTTAAAAGGTTTGGTGGTAGAATTCACCTGTGAAACTGAGTGGGGCTCTTGCTTTTGAGGAGGTATTTGTTAGTGATTTATTCTGCTTCTCATGTAATCAGTTTTTTCTCTTTTGGGGCTAGTTTTAGTAACATGTTTTTCTTAAACTTACCCATTTTATCAAAGTATTTGGATGTATATTCATGAATGAGCTACAGTACTCATATTATTTTGTAAGATACAGAGTATTCTGTATCTTATTTTGTGTTCTTTATATAGATTTCTTTGTTCTTTCTTACAGGAACAGGAAATATAGTGGTCATTATGGTTAGCTACCCAAAAGGAAGAGAGATTCTGGATCTGGTGCAAAAAGAAATTCAAGTCAAAATGACCATAGGGGTTGGCACCCGCCATGTACAGGAGTTCATCAATGGTCAGTCTGTCATGTTTGTGGCCATCGCCTTCATCATCATGATGATTATCTCATTAGCATGGCTGATATTTTACTATATACAGCGTTTCCTGTATACTGGCTCACAGTTTGGAAGTCCGGTAATTATGGGTAACTTTTTATGCTTGCTTTTTCAAATATAGTTTGTAAATATTTTCCATATATATTGCTTGGAGTTGTATTGGACCCTATTCTTCTTTTCATTTTCACTCATATATAATTTAAATATTAATATGATTTTTCTTTTTTTTTAATTCTAAGGTCAATTTTTATTTCTACAAAAACAAAGGCAGTCAAAACAATATAAAACACATGTAAAAGATATTACTGACTGAGCTTCAAGGGGAGCTCGACTCTGCAAAGGCTGTGAGTCCAGAGGGAGAGGGAAGGCCATTTTGTTCCTGGGCTGGGTTGGGCTGACCCAGCCCATCCTGCTGCTTTGAAAGAAGAGGCCAGCAGGGCTCCAGTGACCCCGGACTGGTGCTGGCTATAGCTGAGTCCTGCCAGTTCCAATCCCACAGAATCAAACCATGCTGAGGGAGGGCTGAGGTGGGGCTGCTGAGCTGAGGAGTTGGAGAGCAAGCTTTGTGGCACATTCGGATGGAGCTTGCTGACAGTTGACCATTCTGGCTTCAGTGTTGTCTGCAATGACCAACACATCTTCCATAATGGCTGCAGTGAGGAGCTCCAACCTTTGACCTCAGGAGCCTCTCTGATGAGAAATTCCTCGCCCAAGTGCAGTGACCTCTGGCTGGCAGGCCCTGCCCTAGAGTGGCAGCAGACCTGATATTGCAGAGTTTTCCCTGGCAGGCTAGGCCAGGCCATGCTGGAGTTCAGTCACACACACAGACATGGGTTGCCATTTGATCCATGTTATTGTGGTAACATTGGCCAGGTTTTTACATAAGAGCTGGCCTCCCTTTTCAGAGCTTTTTTGGGAGGTGGGGTAGTGATAGTTTGCTTGTTTTTAAAATTTTTAATAGAATATTATAAATTGGAGCCAATAGAATTTGAACAAACTGCCACACTGGGCAGTGCAACATGAGAGAAGAGAAGTGACCAGACTGGACAGAGCTGTCTCCTCTTTGTAGAGGAGACAGGGCCTAGGTCTGGGAAAGTGAATCAGTGAAAAATAAACTGAATGCAAGAAAGTGAGAGTTGCAAGGGCAGGGGAAGAAAGGGAACCATAACATTTTATGTTAAATCTTAAGGTCTAAATGTAAATTGAAGATCTTGGATAAATTTGGACCAAGAAAAAAAACACCATTCTTTTAGAGTAGATTGAAGCAGTGATTTTTAAAACAAAGGGAGCAGAACTAAAACATCTTAAATTTTTAATCCTTTCTGTGCAGGTTACAGAAAGCACTTTTTTTAAAAATATATTTTATTGATTATGCTATTATAGTTGTTCCATTTCCCCCCCTTCACTTCCCTCCACCCTGCACACCCCCTCCCACCCACATGCCCCCCTTTAGTTCATGTCCATGTGTCATAAGTTCTTTAGCTTCTATGTTTCCCATACTATTCTTGCCCTCCCTCTATTTTATCCCTACCATCTATGCTACTTATTCTCTGTAACTTTTCCACCTCTCATCCTCCCACTCCCCTGTTGGTAACTCTCCATGTGATCTCTGTTTCTGTGGTTCTGTTCCTGTTCTATTTGTTTGCTTAGTTTGCTTTTGTTTTAGGTGTGGCTGTTAATAATTATGAGTTTGCTGTCTTTTTACTGGTCATATTTTTTATCTACTTTTTCCTAGATAAGTCCCTTTAACATTTCATATAATAAGGGCTTGGTGATGATGAATTCCTTTAACTTGACCTTATCTGAGAAGCACTTTATCTGCCCTTCCATTCTAAATGAAAGCCTTACTGGATAGAGTAATCTTAGATATAGGTGCTTGCCTTTCATGACTTGGAATACTTCTTTCCAGCCCCTTCTTGCTTGTAAGGTCTCTTTTGAGGAATCAGCTGACAGTCTTATGGAAATCCTTTGTAGGTGACTGTCCCCTTATCTCTTGCTGCTTCTAGAATTCTCTCCTTCATTTTAATCTTGGGTAATGTAATGATGATGTGGCTTGGTGTGTTCCTCCTTGGGTCCAACTTCTTTGGGACTCTCTGAGCTTTCTGGAAGTCTATTTCCTTTGCCAGATTGGGGAAGTTCTCCTTTATTATTTGTTCAAATAACTTCCACTTGTTTTTCTTCCTCTTCTCCTTCTGGTACCCCTATAATTCGGATGTTGGAACATTTCAAGATGTCCTGGAGGTTCCTAAGGCTCTCCTCATTTTTAAAAATTCTTGTTTCTTCATTCTTTTCTGATTGTATGTGGTTTTTTTCCTTCTGGTCCACTCCATTGGTGTGAGACCCAGTTTTCTTTCCATCACTATTGGTTCCCTGTGCATTTTCCTTCATTTTACTTAGTGTAGCTTCACTTTTTGATCTAATTTGCAACCAAAATCAACCAATTCTGTGAGCATCCTGATCACCAGTGCTTTGAACTATGCATTTGATAGGTTGGCTATCTCTTGGTTGCTTAAAAGTGTTGGCTCTGGAGCTTTCATTTGTTCTTCTGTTTGAACCATCTTTTTTTTGGTGGGGTGGGGTCTGGTCACACCTGTTATGTAGTGAGGGGTGGAGCCTTAGGTGCTCACGAGAGCGTGGCAACACATTGCTGGTGGGCAGCGTCAGAGAGGGAACAATGGTGCTTGCTCTGCTCTCAGTCAGATTTCAGTCCCCTCTGCTGCTTCCTACAAGCAAATTGGGCCCTTCTAGTGCTAGTTTCCGGGTGGGTGGGCTTGTGTATATTCTAGGACCCTGTGGGTCTCTCCAGTGAACTGTCCTGTGAGGCTGGAAGTCTCTCCCTGAGCCTCAACCTCCACAGGTGTTTTCAATTGGTGCTTTTAGGCTTTATTTCCTGGCGCTGGGTCCCTGGGTTGTGCAGTCTATCTCGCTGCCCGTTTTTCACCTGGTTTATCTGCACATGAATATGTGACTGCAGACAGCCAGCTGCCTTGCGCGCCTCACTGGTTCTGCCCATTGCCTCCCCACGCCTGGGGTCTGCTAGCCGCCACCTGTGCTTGTGGGGTCTGCCAACAGCCGCCTGGGTCCTGTGTGTCCTGGTCTGCCAGCCACCGCTTTTCCCTGCTGTGACCCCTCTCTGCAGGCTGCCAATTCCACCTCTTACTGGTCTGGATGAATGGTTGTTGGACTTCTGTACAGTTCAGTTTTCTATCTGTTCTGGTTGTTTTTTTGTTTCTAAAGTTTTGTTGTCTTTAATTTTGGCTGTGGGAGGAGGCACAGTGTGTCCACCTATGCCTCCACCTATGCCTCCATCTTGGCCAGAAGTCCCTAAAACCACTTTTGATTAAGAAAACTGTAGAAACTTAGTAACTGCCACAAGCGAACACAAGGCGATGGCATGTGTCAGTTTTCCATCAAATCCTGCTTTCCGAGGTGTCTGAATGCACTGCTCAGGTCTCTGCTCATACTTACTGGAATCAATTGTGGCAGATTTTAGTCCACAGGTCACTTTTCCCCATATTTCTTTGTAAACTCTTCAGGGTTCTTATAGAATTTTTTACAGTCCTTAGAGTATTTTCAGCTAGGTCAGCCCGAAGCGGGTGCTTGGGCTGGGGGTTATTCACCAGCGTTATGAGAGACTGGATTACTTGGCCAGTTTTGGTTACCGGCTTCCAGTTTTCAGCACTAATTACTGGCAGACAGACCTGCCCCTTTTCATCGAAGTTGGGGTGATAGATCTTTGTGTTAAATGTGATCTTCAGTGGTTTGAATGGGTACTCTGCTGGAAAGCTGATTTCCATTCTGAAGTCCCGCTTATCATATAGAGAGGGTTGTCAGGAACAGTAAGCCCTTGCCAAGTCAGTAAATTAGCTTTATCACTCTGGATATTATGGAACTTTTCATTACACATTTGCAGATTTCTTCAAGCTCCTTCATCAGCCTCCTGCTGGCCACCATCTTAGATCTGGTAATACGATTTTTCTGAAATTAACTTTTAAAATTGGAATATATTAAATTTTCTGTTTAGTGGGAAATTAGATATTTTTAAATCCAGGTCACTTTTTGCATGTTGTGCTCCTGAAAATATCCTCTTTGTCCTTTTCCAGACATAAAGGAGTGACAAAAAGGCATGAGGTAGATGGGACGTGGTTTTGTGTTTAAAAAGAGAACTCTGGATCCTAAGGTGAGGCGCAGAGTGGGAGGGGCTTCCCTGTCTCCACTTTGGAACAACTTTAAAAGTCATTTGTCTGCAGAGGAACTCTCTCTCAGCAACAGCAAAGAGGGGGGTGGTTGAAGAGGCAGGGGCTTCCAACACAGATGTTTTGAATTTCACACTTTCCTCTGTTGTCTTGAAAAGTAACCCTTCCTGACTTTGGCAGCATTAGATAGTCATATTTGTGGTCTTCTACTTGATGACTGGGAAACCTCTTTTCTTTTAGGGAAGTTAATAGATGGTAACCCTATCCTCAGCTTGCTGTTTTCTTTCCAATATTTAAACATATGAATTGGAATTGGCTTCCTGTTCATATATGAAATTGAAAACAAGCATTGTTCCCCCCACCTCCCCCAATTACTGTTTACATTCAGTATTATTTTGTAGTGGTTAGACAATCATACTTTATAAAATGTTCCCCTTGATATTTCCAGCACCCATTTGGCATCATACATAGTTATTACAGTATTATTGACTATATTTCTAATGCTGTACTTTACATCACTGTGACTATTTTGTTAATGTCAATTTATACTTCTCCATTCCTCCACCTTTTTCCACCTGTTCTCCACTCTGGCAACCATAAGTCTGTTGTCTGTACCCTTGAGTCTGTTTCTGTTTTATTAATTTGTTTATATTTTTCTTTAGATTCTACATATAAGTAAGATCATATGGTATTTGTTTTTCTCTGACTGACTCATTTGCAACAGTATGGGTAGATCTAGAGATTATTATGCTAAGTGAAAATAAGTATTCTTGAGCATATAGCTCTTAAGTTATATGTGCTTAGTCTATATATTAAGACAAGTGGTAATATTTAAGGTTATTTTCATTATAATCATTTAACTTTGCTTTTAAGTGAAATTTTTTATGTAGGCTACCATATATTTTATGAGTTTTTAAAATAGTGATTTTACCTGAAATTTTCAATAATAATAATTTTTTCCTACCCAAGAGCCATAGAAAAGAAACCAAGAAAGTTATTGGCCAGCTTCCACTTCATACTATAAAACATGAAGAAAAGGTAATATTTTTGTGTTCTTCTGTTTTGTTTTTGGTTTAGATTAGACTGTATGCCTGTCTTAGCGTCTGAGTAATGCTTTCCAATCTGCTAAATTTATAGTATAGAACATGTGGAGTTCTAACTAGTATGAGTTAGCACTGACTTAATTTATGTGTGTTCATTTTAAAGCAGGGTTGTCAGAAATAATTTTGTTGCATATGTGATGAGCCTTTCAGATATATGGTAGCCAGTAGCCATACCTGGCTACTAGAATTTAAATGAATTAAATTAAACTTAAAATTTAGTTCCTCCATCACAATAGCTACATTAAAATACTCAAATAAATCACATTGTCTAGTCACTACCATCCTGGACAGTGCCAGTATGTTCATCATTGAAAAAACTTCTACCTGTTGGTCAGACTCAGATGACTCTAAAGAAGATAAAGAAGAGCCTTGATCTGTGTGGCTCAGCTGGTTGGGCTTTGTCCCACAAAGCGAAAGGTTATTGGATTGATTCCAGGTCAGGGCACTTGCCTGGGCAGTGATTCAGTCGTGGTTCAAGGTGCATGTGAGAGGCAACTGAGTGATGTTTCTCTCCCTCCCTCTCCCTCCCTTCCTTCCCCTCTCTGTAAAAGTACATAAACTCTTGAAAAAGATAAAGAAGTTAAAGTCTCTACCACAGACCCTTGAAAATTTAAATTCACGTGTCTTGAATCTGAGACTCTGTTCTTCCTTTAATTATGGGGAAAAAATTGTGGAGAAAGGGAGAAAAGGTGTTTTTAAAAGTAGTTTTTTACCAAAACAAACAAACATTTTGACGTGGTCAACCTGAGACTTAACAGGCCAAAATTATACCAGAGTTGAAGCATTTGTAGACTAGGACAGATCCTGAATTTAGAACCTCAGGTTTGAGAAGGTGGATTCCTTAAAAGGAAAACAGTTGGTCATGCAGTGAGTGGTGTTTATTCTTTTAATAGTCTATCTTTTGTGCCATTAATTTTAATAACTGTGTTGATATAGCTGTGGGTTGATTTAGTTGTTTTGATTTTTATTTTATCTCACTAAGTTGTTGAGACTTAATCTATTCCTCCTTAATCTAGTCTCTCCTTAAAAAAAAAAAACAATAACTGTACTTAAAATATGTACCCCTTCCTCTGACCTACTTAAAGAATCAGAACAGAAATAACATATAGACCTTTGACCTAAGAATTTTGGAATCTGATACTGATGGTTTATGTGATATCTTTAATATTGATATCCCTGGATATCATTATTGCAAGGCAGGAATTCTCAGTCCTTAAATGAGAAGACATAGATTTATATGTAATAATTAACTGAGTTAAGTCTTTGAGAACATAAGTATATTGATATTATCCTCTTTCTTTACAGAACATTTTTGAAAATATGCTTCCATGCACTGTTTTTTCAAAGTTGTCAAAATAGTGGTTTAGAAAAGAAGATTTATATGTCCATGAGATATATACATGATTTTCTGATGATTTTATGTTTTAAAGTTACATGGAAAAATGTTGTTTTCTTAAATTGGGAGACTAGTGTGTGTTTTCTAATTTCTCTCTTCCTGTGGACTCATTCACAGTTACGTATAAGCTTGTCAATCATTCTTTAAAATAATTTCATCACTCTTGCATGGCATATGATAAGTAGTAAGTGATAATTTTTACTTTAGTTGTAACATAATTTTTAAGTGTTATAAGGTCCATTTTAATATAGTCTTTGATAACCATATCTACATATAAAGTCAGTTTTTATTGCTTGCTTGTTAACAAGTGATACACATGACTAAATATATTTTTAAAATAATTATGGTGTAGCCAAGTTCCATAAAATTAACTTGTTAAAGTTGTAGCCACCTACAGACACTGATTGGTGGTCCCTGAATCCCCATCCCAGAATCTTGGGAGTGAGAGTCTCATTGGTCTTTCTGGGTCAGATGATGACTCTGGCCCTACCTGCTTTGGTTGATGGGATGAGACCAGGTGGGTAGATCCTCACTACTTAGGAAAATGTGGGGGTGGGGAGGCTTGACCCATACATTCTTAGAAGTGGAAATTTTGTCTTAAGACTGCTTCCTCCCCCAATTTTTGTTTCTTTCTACCTTTGTTAATTTGATATGTGAAAAAATGGTAAGTTATTTCAATTTGTAATTTTTTAATCACTAGTGAGGTGAATCTTTGAGATATTTAGCCATTTGTATTTCTTCTTTTGCAAGTTGTAACTGTACTTCAGCAAATTCTCATGTATTTCTTTTTAATGATTCCAGAAAACAAGCAGCTTATTTGGATATTCATTCTCTTTAGAAATTTTATCTTTGAAAAATAATTAATTTTACTAAGTAAAGCATGCATTTGTATTTCTAAAGCCTTTAAAGCATGAACACTTAAAACCTGAACCACTAGCCTAGTATATAACTACTGTTTATGCCTGATTAGGTAGACAGTGAAATTTTTTTTCTTTTCAGCCAAATTCTTTAAATATTCTCTTAATAGTGGTACGAAGTGAATACCAAGTAGAAATTGTGTGTTTAGTTTTAGGTTGTACCCATATAGACTAGAACTCATCACTGTTTTACCCAAGGTACAGTGAATTTTACCAAGGATATTTACACCCAGGTTAATACTCCTCTTTTTTTTTACAGGGAATTGATGTTGATGCTGAGAATTGTGCAGTGTGTATTGAAAATTTTAAAGTGAAGGATATTATCAGAATTCTGCCTTGCAAGTATGTTCTTTTTACCTCCTGAGATGTTAAAAGGCTTCAGGTTTCCAGAAAAGAGTTTCATGTCTTCATGATATGAAGATCTTGCTATCGTAATAATCTCATGATCATCTTCAGGAAAGACGTTTTCCAGTCTTCAGGACTCCTGTTTTATATAGCTTTAGAACTGCTTTGCTTAGGACACTATAAGTGAGACATATTGAGACCAGTGATATATCTTTTGTCATGGATGAGTTTTTTAAAGTGTGCTGTGTAAGAAGCAAGGAAACTAAAGCATGACAGGGGAAGGCCCTGGTTGAGGGCTAGAATAGGGTGGCAGAGAGGAGGTCAGGGAGGGCAGTGGTTTGCTATTATTTGCATCCTAGGTTTGGGTTCTTTGGGGAGTTGCGTAAAACAATATTCTTCCCCTTACTCTAGGTTCATTAGGGGCTTGGGGCTTCTTTAGCAACAGGAAGTTATATTTCCTTTTTAATAATGGGATAGTTTGATTACTTTCTTAAAAAATTGCTTTGTTAGCAAACAGATGTACTGAATCTGCAATATTAATATGGTTAAGTATAATCAATTATAATTATACTTCACATCTATTATTAGCCAAGTCATGAGTTAATATAGGCAGGGTAGGGCAAAAGTAGGTTTACAGTTAGTTGCAAGTATATAAAGCACAGTTTATTCCTGTATTATTTATTTATTATTGTTTTATTTTCCATAAGACAACTGAAAACCTACTTTTGCCCCATCCTGTATATAATTATTTTTGCAAGTATTTTAACATATATACAAGTACTTTATAGTAGATTGAGTTCTCAGTAATGTGGAAGAAGTGAATAAACATCAGAATAACAAAAGTTTCCTGAATAAAAATATATAATTTAAATATGTAGGCATTTATAGTAGGTTGGTGTGGTGGGTACTTAGTGAATGAGGTCAGTACTGGTTGATCACATCCTGTAGAAAATTATTGGAATAGAAAAGTATTTTTACTCTAGGTTGGTTTAGGAGAGGTCTTTCTGACTTAAATATGTTGTTTAGGGTGCTACACAGAGAAGCAACAGATATATCCTGACTGCTGAACTGGGGTTTGTACTTGACCCATATAAGCACACATGTGACAAGACGTACACATTTCCTGGTCTCCTTAGGAATTTCCATAGTTTTACTCCATTTTCTCCTGTGCTTTATTTAATGAAAGGTGAAAGATTTATATGATCTGAGGAGAAACTAGAGTATATCTCCTGTGCTTTATTTAAAGAATTTCCCAATAAGGCCAATGTGTTTCTTTTATGTTTTTGTAAAAATATTTCCTTCGAGTGAATCAGTTTCAGTTTGAAGATGGAAAAGTCAAAACAGAACTGAGCTAGACTGTGTTATGTAATTAAGTACTGTTATTTTTAACTGCACCAGCAGATTATTGTACAATGAACAATTCCTAAGTATTTCCTGTCCCCAGCACTGTTGTAAGCAGTTTGTACATGTTTGCTCCTCAAAAGAGCCTGGGGTATAGGTGCAGAGAAGTTACAGAACTAGTTCAAAGTCACAGCATCAAGTCACACAGCTGATATATACAACTGATATTTGAGCCTAATCTGTCTGGTCCAACATTGGTATACTTAACTCCTTATCTTCACCCCATAAGAGCCAACAAAGACAAGTCAGTAAAAGAAGAAAATATGTACATGATTTTTTTTATCTGAAGGTGATAGGTGACTGTTACAGAAATATGTAGCACATTACAAAAACACGTGAGAGGAAATGTGCTTTTTAAAGCCTACAACCCAAAGGTGATTTCCTAATATTTTGGTCTGTTTCCATTTGAGTCATTTTATAGACTTATATAAGATGCTCTCAGTTTAGTATTAGTTTGTTACTATTAGTTTACTGTTGGTTTACTTATTCTACATTTGTTCCCAAAAGGCTTTTAAAAAACACATAAAAACATAATCTAGCATAAGGTGAAAATAAACCATGCTATTTTTTTGTGGAATAAAAGGGAAATTTCCCTGTAAGATTCTGTTTAACATGGAAAATAGGATGGTAAGAACTTAGGGTAAGTGAATGTTGATTGGACGTTATTTAACTTGTAATGAGAAGATAAGTTGGTAGAATGTGTTTTTTCCTTTATAAGATACAAACATTGATTTCACTTAATTTTTTAGGCATATTTTTCATAGAGTGTGCATTGACCCATGGCTTTTGGATCACCACACGTGTCCCATGTGTAAACTTGATGTCATCAAAGCCCTGGGATATTGGGTTTGTTACATTTTTGTTTATATTCAATCTTTGCCCTGGTTCTTCCTGAGGGATGTGATGTCATCACTGACCAGAGGCAAGAGGGATAGACTAAATACTCCTTCTAACATCCTTCTGGTTCTCTGAAAAATTTTCTTCTTTATTAAATTTGAATTAAGACATTTCAAAAATTGAACTAAATTTGTGATTATAGAATAATATGCTTGATGTTTTCTTAGAAAGTTTGTGATTACTTAGAGCAATATATTTTGGTATAGTACATTGCAGAATATGTATGTACTGGTTAATCTCGTATAAACAAAAATTATGAAATGTTTGAAGGAGCCCCAGATGTTCTCTGGCTCAAGCTGCACATCTTGCATATGAGGAAGTCAAAGCCAATGCTTTCTGACCCCAGTTCCCTTGATTCCTGTGGATTTTAGAGTCAAATGCTATTGGGGAAATGTGTCCTGTATTGAATTTTCCTCCTTTAGTTTGGTACATAGATTGTCATAGAACCTTCCTCAGAAAACAGACACTAGGGCAAAGTGAGAGAGCACATAGTAGTAGCCACGCTGTGTGCTGAATGCCATACACATTATTACATTTGCCCCCAAAGTCCTTTATGAGGTAAGTACTGCACTATCTCTATTTTGTTACTTAGAAACTTGAATTTAGGAGATGCTAAATAACTCATCCAAGGTCACAGTTTGTTAATGGGGAGTCAGTTTTCAGAAACAAGTTTGTTTGCTTATTTCCAGGATCCAAGCTCTTAACTACTGTCCTACCCTAAAGAGGAGACAGAGAGAGAAGAAAACAGATTTTTCTAGATTGTTCTATTTTTTATCATTTTTAGAGTCTTTATATAATCAAATTAGTATCTCAAAATATTCCTGATTAAATAGTAAATAGTTTTGAAATAAAGATCTTTGAAAGAAGTAATGCAAATATAAAATATATTTTTCTTCTTGCTAAGCATATTTTTAGTTTCTTCTAGTGTTTGTTGTAGTCAGAAACTACATAGTTGTTTTTTTTTAATAATTATTTTATGCTTCTTAAAGCCATAATGACCCTTAAGGCTGTAGGTCTATTAAAGAGTTCTCTTACCTTCTAGCTTAGTGTATCTGCAAATGATAGTTGAGAGACCACTACCTTAATAACCCACATAACTTCCTATGAATTATATTTTTCAAGTGTGAGTTCTGTAATGCCCTTATCATAGGTACAAAGAAAGGGGAAAGGGTTGGCATTGAAGAACTGTCTTATCTAAATCTCATTTGCTTTGATATCTAGAAAATTTGTCGTTTCTGTAGAATTCCATAGTTTTTAAAAATGATGACTCTGTGTAAGATGTTATAATATGCTTTCTTAGTGAACTAGGCTCATCCCCTCTCTGCTCTAGGCAAGATGATGAGCCTTTCTGGGACAGCATTTTACACAGTAGAATCCAGGCAGTTTGACAGGTGTTTTCTTGGCACATTTTTCCTTCCTTTTCCCTTCTCTAGATACACTCTAAGCTCATTTAAAGTAACTTACTTAATGAGTCAGTGATTTTTAAACCTGCTTGATATTTCTAAAACTTTGTATAAAAGGAATTTCACTGACAATTAGTATTAAGAGTTTAATCCTCATGAGTTTTGTTTTTGGAAATATAATTTATATATTGAAAATCAAGATTCTTCATTTTACATAAGGTTGGGTTGTTTCCTTAGAATGTTAACTTCAGAAAGCTAGAAGATGTGTCCTCAGAAAGCTTAGTATCTTTTTAAAGAACAGACCTGTAGTAACTTTAAATCAAACTGAGTAATTAACTTATCTTAATTTTTTAAATCTTTTGACAAATATGCCACTTTCTTTCCATTAGCCCCTCCTCTTTTGGATTCCATAGGTAGTTATGATACATTCTCATGTAGTAACTATAACTAGTTGTCATTTCCAAAAAAAATGTCCCCAGTAGGAGAGTAGTCACCTGTCCTTCACAGAAACATCAAAGGTAGACCTGTGGTTTGCAACTGTAACCACTTTGTCATGCTATTTATCACTGTTGTTTTCATTTGGCAAGCATTTAACAAAGAAATGCTATTTAAGGTGCTGGATCTGAACTTGGCTCTGGGAAATCAGTGATGAATAAGACATAGCCCTTTTACTTTGGGTTGGTAGGAGCCTAGACAGCCATTTTTATCCCAAACACAGCATGGCAGAAGAGGCTGTAGGAGTGCGGCAGAAAGAGGGTTTTCTGTGCCAAATGTGTGTGGGGAGGGATAGGGAGCTATTTTTAGAGGGGCATCTGAGCTAGATGTTAAAGGATTTGTCTGAGAGATGAGTAGTCTGCAGGGGTGTGAACATATGGGGTTTGAGGCTGGCAGGTAGTTAAGTTTGGCAGGTATTTAGAGAAATACCTGGAAAATACGATTAGGGTGAGCTGAGCAAATTTGGACATTATGTCAACTCAACAAAATTTGGTGTGTGGTATGTCAGGAGTCATGTTCTGAAAGTGTTCATTACTAATGATAAGACTGGAGTATATCACACAGTAGTCAGGAGATGTGGGGTATTTCAGTATATAGGTGGAGCTTCAGTGGAAGCAGCAGGCCAGCATGCCTTTTGGCCCTGAGCGCCCAGAGGAAGAGAAGGGGAAACAACAGTGCAGTTTGTTCACTCGAAGCAAAGGTGACAGTCTTGGGCATAGCTGCCTGTAAACCCATAGTCACCCCTCATTTCATAGGTCATTAGCAGTTTCATTTAATCACAACACAGCTTTTTGATTCTGGCATTAATCAAACAAGGTTTCTGGATAGCCCCCAAATTTTGAGACTTTTAATGTAGTAATCATCCTAGAGTCTCAGCCCTTACTTTTATTATTTTATTTTCTTCTTTAAAGCAGCACATAAAAGAGGGGGGAAGTTTGAGGCAAATTGACAGCTAATATTTTTAAGTGAACCAAAATCTAATCTGAAGCCCTGTGTTGTTCAAAAACCTTTATTTCTGAAACCCTGTCGCCTCACTGTAAAACAGTAGAACAATTCCAGGCAGTGATTGCAACTCATGGCCAAGGCCAGAAGTGATCTGCGGCAGACAGCCAGGCTGATTTCCACCATCTGTTCAAGAAAGCAGCAGTTTGTAACAACACTTCACTTTCTGTCAACAAACAGTTTAAACAGTGGCATTGTTTATGTCAAGGGGAAAATGGGTTTTAGAATAAAAATGTTTAGGTCTTGGAAAGTTGTTTATTGAGAAGTAACTCATTGTCTGATGATGCTAAATAAAGAAGACATCAATGTGCTTTTTGTCATATTCTGTGGATAAGTAAACATTATTTGTAAATTATGAACAAAAGGTGATGGATGAGCTTTGATTGTGTTAATTAGAAAAGACATTCTTATGTGCTAACTCTCAAGGGAGAGCTTGAAGATGTCCAGGAGATGCCCACTCCAGAATTGGCCCCTGGAAGTGTTTTGGCTGCAAATTTGAGTATTACTGTACAAGACTATGACAGAAGTGATAGGATTAATTCACTATCATCTTCCACTAATGAATCCATGCCACAGCGTGATGTACATTTTAAAGAAGATGCAGGTGAAAACACAGCCTTACTAGGTAAGTAGCTTGCAGATTATAAAGCAAACTGACATTATTAATTATTAAAAGAAAATGAAAAACATAAAGGAAATATCATTTTAATAAATATCTTTCAGAAGTTTTTGGTGTTTAAGGATAGGGAGAATGTGTTATTAGGTAACATGTTTTATTTTCCTTAGTGTATGAAGGTCTTTCTATATCAATAGGTACATAATTTTATTTTTTTAATTTATTGACTTTGAAGAGAAACATCAATTTGTTATTCCACTTATTTATGTATTTATTGGTTGATTTATGCATTATTGATATTGTCCTCTAACCAGAGATTGAACCCACAGCCTTGACAGATCAGGATGATGCTGTAACCAACTGAACTATCTGTCCAAGGCTCTAGATACATAAATTTTGTATAGCTGCATAGTGTTATATTTTAGGTTTACTATAGTCATTTCTTCAGACCACACCCTGTTGATGACCTTTTGTCAGTAACACTTTCATTATGTATATATATACCACTTGCTTAATTGTTTTCTGTCATTCTCATAGGTAAAATAGAGCAAATTGTATTTTTAAATTATTGTGGAGATTACCTTTTCATATTTTTGGTCATTTTTTCTTTTATAAATTGTTTCATTCTTAGCTTATTTTTCTGTAAAGAAACTGATTTTTCATACTGATGCCAAGAGCACTTTGGTCTTTATCATATGTATTCTATATTATCACCACAACCCCAATTTTTGTATCCTTTGACTTTCTGATGTGTTTTGCTTAGATAGAAATTTTGAATTTTTGTCTAATATTTGTGATTTTGCGTTTTACATTTAAATATTTAATCCATATAGTTTAAAGGGAGATTGAGCTAACCTATTTTTCCCCAAATGTTTAACCAATTATTCTAATATTATTTAGTGAATGACATAAAGAATATGTTTTGATATTTGCAAGACAACACAAATTCCTTCATCTTTATTCTTTTTAAAAAACTTGTGGCCTGTTCTGCATTTTTTAAGATTAATTTGGACTGTGGTAGCTGTTTCCTTCATATGGCAGCCCTGATAGCAGGACAGTAAGCCCTGGCAATAATGTCATTGAGGTTATACTACCTACCTAAATTTAATCTTACTTTTGTGTATTTGCTTCCTGAATTGGACCTAACTTGCTGTATTTCTTTTTCTCATTTTTATTATTATACAGTTTCTTTACCTTCTAAGTTTAAATATGTACATAAAATATAAATACAAGGAATTCACTAAAAATCACTATTAACAATTATTGTTTAAATAAAACTTGTAAGCAGTTATTATTTGAAAACCAGTCTTTGTTACTTTGGGGATATCTGGTTTATTTACCCAGATTTGGAGGGGGAAAAGGAGTAAATTTTTTTCTTTCCAAATCTAGCTAAAGTACTGTCTTATATCTCCCTTTGAACTTCCCATACAGGCAATATGAGGTTATTCTCATGGTCAGTTTTTCTTTTGTTTAAAGTATATTTTCAATTAAAAAATAACTTTTCATCCCTGGCTGGCGTAGCTCAGTGGATTGAGCGCGGGCTGCGGACCAAAGTGTCGCATGTTCGATTCCCAGTCAGGGTACATGCCTGGGTTGCAGGCCACGGCCCCCAGCAACCGCACATGGATGTTTCTCTCTATCTTTCTCCCTCCCTTCTCTCTCTAAAAATAAATAAATAAATCTTTTAAAAAAAATAACTTTTCTGCAGTTCTCAAAATAATGTGAAATTTAATAGGTGTTTCATTTGTTTGTCTACTTTATATATATGTATTTCTCACATCGCTGTCCTTTTTGCCCAGGTCTACACTGTATTATTTAAGTGCTGCTAGAACATTACAGTAACTAGCATAGTTTTCTACAGTCATAGAACATAGTCATAGTTTCTGCTGATTTCTTTTGCATTCATGACCTTCATATAATGTCACTGGTTTGGGTATATTTAACTTTGCAAAAGTTAGGTAGCATTTGCAAAAGGGCATTGAGTTTTTTAAAGCCCCTGATTTCTTTCTTTTTTTTAAAGATATTATTTATTTATTTTTAGACAGAGGGTAAGTGAGAGAGAAAAAGAGGGAGAGAAACATCAGTGTGTGGTGACCTCTCACACACCCACTACTGGGAACCTGGTCCACAACCCAGGCATGTGCCCTGACTGGGAATCACACCAGCAACCCTTTGGTCTGCAGGTCAGCTCCCAATCCACTGAGCCACATCAGCCAGGGCTGATTTCAAGATAACAGTTTTCCCTGTAGCTTAGAAATGCATGCATTTTTATCTAGAAAAGTCAACTTTTCATAGTTTATATTGTTGGAGGCTATACTTCTAAAGCATATACTCATGGAATAACTTATCTTAATTTCATAATGCTGTGTGGTTTCTTTTGATTTTTTATTTCATATTTTTGTTCGGATAAAATAAAATTATTTTGTATTTCATGAGCATAAATTGGCATATACGTTTTATTTATTATTTTTTAAATTTTATTTTAATCATTGTTCAAGTACAGTTTTCTCCCTTTTACTCCCAATCCAGCCCCTCCTCCCAACCCTCCCCACTTCCCTCCCATTACCACCCTCCCCCTTGTTTTTGTCCATGTGTCCTTTAAGTTTGTTCCTCTAAACCCTTCCCATTCTCCCCTGAAATTCCCTCTTCTCTCCCCTCTGGTCACTGTCAGCCTGTCCTCTATTTCAGTGTCTTTGGTTATATTTTGCTTGTTTCTTTGTTTTGTTGTTTAGGTTCCTGTTAAAGGTGAGATCATATGGTATTTGTCTTTCACTGCCTGGCTTGTTTCGCTTAGCATAATGTTTTCCAGCTCCATCCAAGCTGTTGCTAAGTGTAGGAGCTCCTCTTTTCTTTCTGCTGCATAGAATTCCATTGTGTAAATGTACCATAGTTTTTTGATCCATTCATTTACTGATGGGCATCTTGGTTGCTTCCAGCATCTAGTTATTGTAAATTATGCTGCTATGAACATTGGGATGCATAGGTTCATTTGGATTGGTGTTTTAGTATTCTTAGGATAGAGTCAAAGTAATGGAATTGCAGGGTCAAAAGGCAGATCCATTTTAAGTTTTCTGAGGAAGTTCCATACTGTTTTTCATAGTGGTTGCACCAGTCTGCAATCCCACCAACAGTGCACTAGGGACCCCTTTTCTCCACAACCTCTCCACACTTCTTGTTTATTGCTTTGTTTATGAGATGGCCATTCTCACTGGTGTGAAGTGGTATCTCATTATGGTTTTAATTTGCATCTCTCTGATAGCTAGCGATATTGAACATCGTTTCATCTGTCTTTGGTTTTCTGTATGTCCTCCTTGGAGAAGTGTCTGTTCAAGTCCTTTGCCCATTTTTTAATTGGATTCCTTGGCTTCTTAGAGTGCAGTCATGTAAGTTCTTTATATATTTTGGAGATTAAACCCTTGTCTGAGGTGTCATTGGCAAATATGTTTTCCCATACAGTTGGTTCTCTTTTAATTTTGATAGTTTTCTTTAGCTGTGCAGAAGCTTTTAATTTTGATGAGGTCCCGTTTGTTTATTCTTTCCTTTATGTCCCTTGCTCTAGGGGACACACCAGTAAAAAAGTTTCTGCATGAAATATCTGAGATTTTCCTACCTTTGTTCTCCTCTAGAACTTTAATGGTTTCATGTTTTATGTTTAAGACTTTTATCCACCATGAATTTATTTTTGTATATGGTGTAAGTTGGTGATCAAGTTTCATTTTTTTGCACGTGGCTGTCCAGTTCTCCCAACAACATTTGTTGAAGAGGTTATTTTTACTCCATTTTTTGTTGCTGCCTCCTTTGTTAAATATTAATTGACGATAGAGACTTGGGTTTATTTCTGGGCTCTCTGTTCTGTTCCATTGGTCCATGTGCCTGTTTTTATGCCATTACCAGCCTGTTTTGATTACAGTGGCCTTGTAGTATAGTTTAGTGTCAGGTATTGTGATCCCTCCTACTTTACTCTTCTTTCTCAAAATTGTAGCAGCTATTCGGGGTCGTTGATGATTCCATGTAAATTTTTGAAGTATTTGTTCTATGTCTGTGAAATATGGTACTTTAATGGGAATTGCATTGAATGTGTAAATTGCTTTGGGTAATATGGACATTTTGATGATGTTAATTCTTCCGATCCATGAACACGGTATATGTTTCCATTTGTTTGTGTCTTCCTTGATTTCTTTCCTTTGTGTTGTGTAGTTTTCTGAATACAGGTCTTTTACCTCTTTGGTTAGGTTTATTCCTAGATATTTTATTTTTCTTTTTGCTATTTCAAATGGGATTTTTTTCCTTGATCTCTGCTTCTGCTGTTTCATTGTTGGTGTACAGAAATGCCTTTGATTTCTGGATATTGACTTTGTATCCTGCTGTTTTGCCAAATTCATTTATTAGGTCAAGCATTTTTTTGGTGGAGTCTGTATGATTTTCTATGTACACTATCATGTCATCTGCAAACAGTGACAGTTTTGTTTCCCCTTTCCGATTTGGATGCCTTTTATTTCTTTTTCTTGTCTGATTGCTGTGGCTAAAACTTCCAGTACTATATTGAATAGAAGTGGTGAAAATGGACATCCTTGTCTTGTTCCTGATCTTAGTGGAAAATATTTTAATTTTTGCCCATTGAGTATGATGTTGGCTGTAGGTCTCTCATATATGGCCTTTATTATGTTGAGGAATGCTCCCTCTATTCTCACTTTGCCAAGTGTTTTTATCATGAATGGGTGCTGTACCTTATCAAATGCTTTTTCTGCATCTATTAATATGATCATGTGGTTTTTGTCTTTGCTTTTGTTTATGTGATGTATTACATTTACTGATTTGCAAATATTGTACCATCCTTGCATCCCTGGAATGAATGAATCCCACTTGGTCATGGTGTATGACCTTTTTAATGTATTGTTGGATGCGGTTCGCCAGTATTTTGTTGAGGATTTTAGCATGAATGTTCATCAGTGATATTGGCCTGAAGTTTTCTTTCTTTGTTGTGTCTTTATCTGGTTTTGGAATTAGGA